AACGATTATCTTTAGTTAAAGTAGCCACATATTGAAGTTTAAATTTGAGTGTTCAGGGTACGTCACATAAAAGCAGTGCGTATAGAAATTTTATAGACAAAAATTAAATGATAATATTAAAATAGATGACATAGAATTGATTTGTGGGAGATAAGCTGTAATATCCTGGACAGAGTGTTAATTTTGTTGATGCGGTGATGAATCCTTTTGAGAACAGTTTCTGTGTCACGTGCAAAGCGCCGACGAGTCTTCATCCACTCCCCACAAGCCTTTCAGCAGAAGGTATGCTGTGAGTAACGATCCAGGAGGCTGTGCACTTCCTCTTTTAAGTAAACTTGGAATTTGGTTCCGCCATAAACAAGGAAAACAAAACCACGGGAAGGAAGTAGTGCGCCTTTAGTTAGGCAAACCGCCGGGGAAATCTGGCTGATAAGTTGACTAACTTCATGGGGAGGGAGGTGTCTTAAACGAGTGGTGGGTTTAGTCTGGGATTAAACCCTCGATTACGGTGGTCTTAGCAGCTGGGGAAATATATTCTTATCCTCCCAAAAAAAACTTTATGACTTCCTTCATGAAGCACCTTGCTACATTTTAAACACCTCCCCCAATTTATGAGGGTAAGATGGCGTCACTAAACGTTGCTATCGAAACTGTGATATATTGCATCCGATTCTATTTTTCTCTAAGCATGAATTTCATGACGTAGCAGATTGTGCCACTCCAAAATCTCTTTCTCCTTGTTTTGGTTGGATTACATCTTGCAGCTTACGTTTTTGATTGTTTTATTTTCATCTCGTTTTTCTTCGGAGATCTCTGCAAGGAACTGAATTATTGGAAGCTTGGGTTCGTTTTCAGGTTACGTCGTTAATTCTCGTATACATTTCACAGATGACATTTGACCCCAAAATCTACTGATTACCCTCATACCCTTTTCGGATGTTAAAATTGAGTCATGAAATACGAATAACATGACACTAGACCACTGCTATGCAAACAGGTGAGCGCAGTCTTAAATATTTAAACGAGAGGACATAATGACTGCAGTCACGGTCACACTGGTGATGATACTGTTACTGTGATGACTGTCGACTCGTTTACTTTAAAAAAAATCTGACGTTCGTGATACGTATGTAACTGAAAATAGCTTTATCCGACATTCTGTACGTCTATTAAAATAGTCATTTACTCTCGGAAAGATTATAAATTCTACATAAAACAACAAATATCTGACGAACATATAATTTATAAAACACTTACATTTGAGGGAGGATACTTTCAATTGTTTTTATAAAGCGAGTACGCATGACAAAATGGCTGCTCAGTAGTGTGTCGTAACATTGGTTTCCCAGCCGAGTCTAGAAGCAAGAGATGCAGAATTATTACAGTTCACTCAAACTCACGAGAGATCACGTCTGCGTGTCGAATTACTAGTATTCGTTTTTGAAATACAGAGTTAGGTAATATGCCCCCCCTTCCCCTCGTTTTGCATAAGCCATCAACGCCGAACTCTGTATTCGCCACATGCAAGAATGAACGTGCATGTTAGGTCATTTAAAAACGCGCTCACAACACGGCAGTTGTTTTATAAGGGAGGCTGTGATAGATCTGTTTTCACACTTGGAACAAAATGTCATTATACCGGCAGTTTGGCGCTGTAACGATTTCTGTAAATTATATTGTACCGTTACGTACCCTGTTATGACGCAAACTGCGGGGAGAGAGAGAGGTCCCTCAGGGTTGCCAAAACTACGTAAGCAAAAAAGTTTTTCCTATCAGCTTCATACTATAATTTTTATATTTCCTTTCCACAGGACTGTACAATTAATCTGCGAAGTGATCACTTCGTTACATGAGTGATTCTGTATTTCCATTTGACTAGTCGAAATTGCAGTTGGCTGACATGCCGACTTGTCTTTGTAAGATCGTATAAGGACGGGAAACTTCTGTGTCTCTGGGCCTGCGCTTTAAGTTTCTCCAAATTTCCGTTGTTTCTGCAGTTTCTGCAGAAGATTCTTCAAACTATGCTTAATATCTCTCATTCCACGACACCTGGCCCCAGGCAACAGGGTCTTATAACTTACCCTAAGCCATATGTTAGAATCGAGCAGGTTTTGCCCTTGGGAACTACCCGTTTGGAATCTAGTAGCGGTACTAAGTGAAATGTTCGTTTTTTGTCTCTCTCTCTCTCTCTCTCTCTCTCTCTCTCTTCAACAATATTCTGGAACAACCTTAAGAATCTCAAGAATCAATTACTTGCTGATGGATTATTGGATTGTTTATCGAAGATTTATTATTTTCATACGAGGTGCGATCGGAAAGTTTCCAGACTGCGCCTATAAAAAAAAACCCGTACACTTATCTCAGGTATTAAATTCATCCATCACC